CAAAATTGTTGTGACTTACCGTTTCTTGGTGTCCAGCAAAAGCCTACCCTGGCAGGGGCTGGCAAAGCTAGCTGAACAATTTCAATACAAATGTATTATTTCGTACTACTGCCACTAATTATATATATAAAATATAGGTTTGTTCGTAAGTAGGTTTAAAATTTAGGTTTGTTCGTAAGTAAGTTTACCAGTCCCGGCAGGGTCTGCAACTCAGTTATATCACAAGACACAAATGTTTTTTGAAAGTTGGAATGAATGTTGGCTCTATATAAATCCTTCCCTCGGCCAATCAATTCTGTTGTTTCCATGCCAAGTTTCATTGCGTAGCTGACCACACCCACAGTTGCACTACACCTGTTTTGTTGAAAACAAAAGTTAAACATTGTAAGGAACAACAAAATTAAAAGCATTTCTTAAACTGAACCAAGGAAAAGGTGAAAGATTTACTGTAAATGGAGTGATTCATTCACACTCAGACTGTCACATTCATGTAAGGCCTACACATTTTTTACACACACTTAAACCAGTTAGAAATAGTTACCATTGTTATCTGTTTTGAGTTTAATTCATTTTAGTAAAATAAACTTTAAGTTTTGACTAAATTTAATAACACTCTTCAATGAGGTGTTACATAGAATATTGACTGTGCCTGCTACATGCAAGAGAAAGATGGGGGAGAAACGGGCATTTGCATTAAATGCTATGACTGAGTATTATTTTTAGTTTTATTAGTTTTATTCACAACGGCTAATGTTACAAACTATATTAGCACACAGCTAAATTATTGTTAAAGTTGGTATACTGTTAGCTAGCCCCTGCTAGTCAGTCCCACTGTGGCTGGAGCAATGGAACCAAAAACTATTTACATTTCTACACTGAATAGCCCATGTTTAAAAAGAAAATAACAAGGAAAAACACAAAGTTTTGGGGACAAATTGGATCAAATTATTTGAGGTCTCTCACATATTCCAACATCTCATCTTGAAATCATTATTTTTTCCAATTTTTTAAAGAATTCAAGAAACCCTTTCATATTACACAGCAACAATTTCAGAAACTAAAGTTAAAGCTAATTGTGTCTATAAGATACTATCTAATGTTGAAGGCCAGGATTAAAACTAACTAAATTCTGATATCAATTCTGCTCTTGATGATCTTGTGGAACAGGAAAAAAGTTCATGTCATCTGGAAGAACATTTGCTCCGTGGAGAGAAATTAATTTCTTCATTTAAATTTCATGCAGTAGTGCAGAATAAAATCTTTAAAAGTTTGGGAGAAAACTGGAAAGAAATGGTTAAAAATGATTCCATGTTACTCATTAGAGAAGAAATAGCAGCAGATTTAACTGCAACAGTTGAAGCTTTGGTACAAGAACTCCAGATGTCTTTGGGGAATAGCAGATTTATCAGATCCAGTTAACAAATGAGAATATGTTGAATTGATAAAAAAATATATTTTTATCTTTTATAATCTTTTTAATATATTGTTTTAAATATTTACACAAGGGCATTTAACATTTTCTAATTACATAAATGTAAATGTGTTCCTTTTTAATATGAAATACTAAATGGTTGTGAGAATGTTAGTTTTATTAAAAATCTGTATTTTTCAAATTAATACATTAACTGTGGGTAACAATTTTAATTAGTGCACATGATTTTTTTATCAATAAACATTTTAAAGTTGAGACTCTGTTCTGTTCCCTCACCATCAACATGTGATTAAACCATTAAAGGTCTCTGGTGATCTATAGTCATGTGTGGACATAAATAGGTCAATAAACTACAACAAGAAAGCCTCCAGAGTCAGTAACCAGATCTTGTAAAATAGACATGAGAATAAAATAAATGCTTTTGTTAAAAAAAAGTTTATAGTTTAATCTTAAACATATAAAACTGTATCTTAACTAGGAGTGCTCTGTTAGGGATGTGAAGTTTTGTTTAACTGTTGCTTCATCAGATCCACTCAACACACTCTTTGTTGTCACAGAAAAAAGCCCCAATAGAGGCACAAAAGGGTTATAACATATACATCTGGTTTCAAGTGTACAACAACAGGTAGCAACTCACTGATTTAGTTTCCTTTATTAGTAGTTTTATTACTGATACATGACCTTGTTAGATACCATTGTCTCAGCACACATACTGTAATCCTTTTTGAGATGGAGCTTTGAGAATTGGCACAAACAATATACAAATGAACATAACCTGTATACAACACTGATATTAAACAGAAAAATAAAAAGCAATAAATATCAAAAATGGAATGAACACAACAAAAGAAATGCAGGATTGCATCTTCATGAGACAAAATGTATTTTAATTATGTGCCATCTTCTTTAGTTCAGTGCAAACATTAAATTATGAAGAAAAAAATAAAAACAGTCTGTAGCAGTAGTAGTAGTAGTACATAGCAGGATGTGAATGTACAAACATCAGTTTAGACTCAGCCTGGATATTCCCTACTTTGTGATGAAGATGAGTTAAAATGTCTTAATGAGAAAAGACAGAAAGAAAAGTTAACATGTTTAAAAACACACAAAAAAAATCACTTCTAAGTCCAAACTGGTGAAGTCTGAGCTTCTTCTGGTTTCAGAACATTTGATTTGTCAAGAATTTTAAAAAAGCACACAAATGATTAAAAAAAAAAAAAAAAAGTGATTGATTTAAGCCCAGAGAAGGAATAAGGCAAGCAAGCTCATACTGTATATACAGTTACTATTTACATTGTGTTTACATATGGTTTAGTAACTTTACCAACAGTTGAGGTGGAGTTTGGCTCCCTCTACTGGGTCATACTAGTGTCACACTGCAGTAGTGAGTGCAGAAGTAGTCACATGCTTTTTAAATCTTTCATCACAGAGCACCCAGAAGAACCAGGCCCTATGCAGTGGCTGGCAACCAGAACCAAAGTCCAGTGTTTAGAAAACACCCACAGCCTGGTCTGACACTCCCTCCACATCTGAAACAACAGCACGGGGATGAGAAAATAATTCCTCACAGTCTCCTGATGTTGGTTTTGGTTTAATTATTTCGATATTGCTTTGTCCTTGCTTCTAAAGATAAGTAGAAATATTATAAAGAGGCAACCACACAGCGGGGTAAAGGAGTGAGGAAGTGCAGAGCTACTCCACCTCTTTCTCATGTTGAACACAAACACACATTTCTACTGTGGTGAAAGCAGATATGTTACCTCACAAACACAGGCAACTCTTCTATGACTAGTGCATTTTATTGGGAGAGAGCTCAGTTACAGCCTTACCTTAAGAGGCCCGAATATGCACAACTGATCATACCTATTACTAATATCATCACATGACCAAAAAGAACTGACTCAACTAGAAGTGTAATAAAACAATGATGGCGGAGGAATATAACTTTGAGAGTGATGCCTAGATGGATAACTAAGCCAACACTCAACAAAAAACTCACCAGTACTGTACATGACTTCAAAGTCGCACTAAAAAGCAGTGAGGAAGAAAGTTGCCATAAGCGAGACCTGAACCTAGCAGAGTCAGACTCACTCAGAGGTATACAGGCTTAATGAGGGGGGGGGGGAGCTAGTCTTTAAACTCCTCCACAAGCTGTGAGGCCTAAAATGCAGTCAAAAAATGCTAGAATTAAGGTAAAATAGAGGACCAAAGCACAAATATTCCTGTAAAATTAGACTTGAGTCACTTGAGATAGGACAGGGTGGTGGCTGAATGACAAAAGTGGGAACTATTAGGTCTGGAAGAGTAAATAAGGACGTCTGCAACCATCAGTCAGTGCAGGTGTTAAAGTCTCAACCGCCTTACTCCTCCTCAGTAAAAAGGCCAAATGTCTGTGCTTCCGAGAGATCAGCATCTGAGGATTTCTACCACCATGGCTGGGTCCAGATGAGGACCCAGACTTGGGCCTTCACAAATCTGGATGGTGAGATTTTTTACATTTCAACTAGAAGCATGTAGGAGTAAGCACAAATGACTCAAAGGAGTAAATAATGTGATATTTTACTGGAGATACTTCAACCAAAAACAGCCTCGATTAAGAATATCCGCAGCAGAACATGAATCGGTAACATCAATCAGACTGAAAAACTGCACAAGGCCAGCTTATGTTCTCACCTAATAAGGGGACTATATGTCTAAGGAGAGGATAAAGGGGAATTTATAAATATATCACTAATCATTACCAGATTAAAAGAAACATCCCGATCAGAGATGAGCTCACAGTAATTAAAGAGACAAAATATGCAACGACCCGGTAAAACGTAAAAGAACTGTTCCCAACCTAAAGGAGGCCACATACTGCTAAAAAACAAACCTATGATATAATATCTAATAGATAGATATATATATATAAATAAATGTGTTTGTGTGGAGACCAAACAGAGGAAGAAGGGCCTGCAGGCTGTGGGCGGAGCGAGTATCAGCCGATGGATGTGAACAGCAGGCCTCATGGTGGCGTCTCTGCATTGCTAGTCGTGGTCTTTTTCTTTGTTGGCTTCTTCACCGTCTTGGTTTGAGTCTTGAAGAGGGAGAGGAGGGACAGGGGGGAGGAGAAAGTCAAAAGTAGTTAAGAGTTGTTCAAATGAAAGGTCCAAAATAGGTTCAACTAACGTTGGGTGATGTATCAAGTATACTACACTGAAAAGGGCAGTCCACCAATTTTACACAAGCTTAGTTTACTCTTCACGGAGAGGCATATAATACTGTTATGCAATTGTATAATGTCTTCTGTGGCCCTGGAGGAGCTATGTTCACGTGCTGGAGTTGACACTACAGATATAGGCGATGTGATAACAAACTAAACATGGTGAAGAAACAAGCACAATATAACTTCACTGTAACGTTTTTATTGACATCTGCTCAATCATAGTTGAACAAAGACTGAGCAGCCAATGTGCCGGAGCCAGTCAGAGAGAGATGATGCCACATACGGGAAACGCATTCTTGAAATTGCTCAGACATCAATAGACGTGAATAGGAAATGGAGCAACTACTCATACTGTAGGATGGAAGTGTCAACCTTTCAGCTTAAGACTTCAAATGTTTGTTAAAAAGCAACTACGGGATTTAAGTTGAAAGATTTTAAGGTGCATGTTTGGTTTGGTCAAAGATGCTATACTGTAGGATTCAGCAATGA